GAAAATTGGGAAAAAATGAAATTCGACTTTTCAAAAATTCAAAATTCGTCATTTGAAAATTGAATTCGCCAGAGTGACGATTTGATGCCGTTTTTCTTCGCCACCATGGGTTCCGTTTTCGTCAATGACGAGAGTGACGAGCGGCAGCGGGAACCCTGGATTGTACCCGGTGTTCCCCTGTGGCTTTTACTGTGTATGACTGTACCCTTTGTTCCCTTGTGGTTCGTACTGTGTGTGAATGTACTCTGCGTTCCCCTGTAGCCTGAACTGTGTATGTGGCTGTACCTTGTGTTCCCTTCTAGGGTTGTATTGTGTGTGTGACTGTGCCCTGTTTTCCCCTGTAGGCTGAACTGTGTGTGTGACTGTACCCTTGGTTCCCCTGTTGTTCTTTCTGTGCGTGAATGTACTCTGTGTTCTCTTATAGCCTGAACTGTGTATGTGACTGTACCTTGTGTTCCCCTGTAGCCTGAACTGTGTGTGTGGCTGTACCTTGTGTTCCCTTATAGGTTTGAATTGTGTGTGTGACTGTACCCTTGGTTCCCCTGTTGTTCGTTCTGTGCGTGAATGTACTCTGTGTTCTCTTATTGCCTGAACTGTGTATGTGACTGTACCTTGTGTTCCCCTGTAGCCTGAACTGTGTGTGTGGCTGGACCTTGTGTTCCCTTATAGGTTGTATCGTGTGTGTGTGTGTGTGTGTGTGTGTGACTGTACCTGAATTATACTGTGTCTGTCTGTCTGTGGGTGTGTGGGTTAGGTTTATATTACTTCGTGGGGACCAAGTGTCCCCCACAATGTAATAAAACCCAGTTTTTTTATGTTGTGGGGACCTGTGAATGCAATCAAAAAAGTAAAAATGCCAAAAGTCTCGTATTTTGTTTGGTTAAGGTTAGGGCTGGGTAGGGGTTAAGGTTGTCATTGCTGGTATAAGGGATTTTCCTATAGAAATGAATAGAGAGTCCCCAGAAAGATAAATACAAAGCTGTGTGTGTCTGTCTGTCTGTCTGTGAGTTGTACTGTGAGTTACTGTACCCTGTGTTTTCCTGTAGGCTGTACTATATGTGTGACTGTACCCTATGTTGCCCTGTGGGTTGTACTGTGTGTGTGACTGTACTCTATGTTTTCCTGTTGGTTGTCCATTGTATGTCTGACTGTACTCTGCGTTCCCCCAAGATTTGTACTGTCTGTCACTGTACTCTGCGTTCCCTTGTGGGTTGTAATGCATGTGTGACTCTACCCTCTGTTCCCCTGTGGGGGGTTCTGTGTGTGACTGTACCCTCTGGCTGTGTGTGACTATTTGTTTTACCAAACCCTAGATGTGTTTCCTGTTTCCATACTAAGATTCTGTTTGTCTTTCTGGATTGTCTTGGAAGCACAATCAGGTTTCTGGCTTGCCTTTCACTGTCCTGCTTTTAAATGCCCCACTTATGACTTGAGGATCAGAATGGTGATTTTTGGACAAAGGTCAAGGTAGAGGGTTGTGTGTGTTGGGGGGGGAGGGTAGTTTTTTTTTGTCTTGGGGCATCTTTGAAGCAAGTGGGATGCTGTGGAGTTTGGGAGAGCATCCATTTCATGCTCATCTGCCGATCCACAAGGCGCTGATGCTGCCTGTGTGGGTTAATGACAGACACTCACTGAGCTCTCTCTCAGAAGCTGTAACGATGTTTCATCCTTTTCCCGAAGACCACTCTCCGCTTATAAATGTCAACGCTCCTGTTTAATGAGTGAGCGTCTTGTGCTAATAAATTTTCCTTCCGACTCTCAAGAGCGTGAGCGAGTTCGGTGCTCGCCATGGAGAGGCGTAATCTGTATTTCTTTAAAACGCGAAGTTGTTTGCATTTATTTGTGTGATCGCCTCAGTCAAACTCCGGAGAGTTCAGAAGTCGGGCCCCGACGTGTGAAAAGATGACAGGGGAATATGTTGTGGAAGGTTCTCCTCTTTCCTCCTTTAATAGCTGACATTTAAAGTTATGGTGGGGTGTGTGGGGGGTGCCCTTTATACATCGGCGGGCATTGAAGCGGCCCGTGTGTGGCGGCACCTCACTGGGGGCCGTTTGTGGTATTTTGGGTCAGTGTGGGTGGAGCCAGCAGGGTCCTCTTCACCTGTGCCTCTAGAGGCACTACCAGTGCTCTTTGAGGACAAACAGAGCAAACCTGTGGGCATGGTTGGTTTCGGGCCTGTCTTGGGCCAGTGGGAAACCCCTTGTGGTGGTCGGGGGTTGTGCGTTTAGAGAATGGCAGTATCCTGTGGTACGTTGGAGCCTTGTTTACCTGGCAATGAAAGGAGAGCATGTCCAGTAGGGCAATTAAAAAGGTAAGTCGGAGTTGTGCCGGTCTCCAGTCCCAAGTCGGCCCGCCCCGTAACCGTGGGGGTGTGATCCATATAGCTCGCTCCACCTGCCACAGGCCGCCGAGGGAACTCCACTTCCAGGAAGCTGGTTCACTTTGTGCACTTGGGGGTGGGTCAGGGATGGGTAGCAGCCCAGGTCTTGATGGTTGTCATGTATTCACCCTACCGGTGTGACATTTTTGGAGAGGGAGGGGTTGGAGACATCTGAAGATGTTCTGTGGCTTTGTGGATCTACTGTCCCATTTTGGTTCTGCTGTCTTGCAGATGCTCTTTATGGGATCTTGCGGGGGGGGGGGGTCTTTAACATGGATGGGTAAGCAGATAAGTGACACAGGCGTGCTGGGCACGTCACGGAATCCACTGTTGTCTCCCGTGTCGTTCCAGATGTTTGCCTTTGAAATGATTCCCAGGAGATTAAAATTTCATGGCATTTGTGCTCAAGGCAGCTTGGAAAGAAAATGTCAAACCCCCCCCCCCCCCCCCCCCTAGCCCAGCTGAAGAGCCTGGTAGTGAGGAGCGCGTGATGTCTGGGCTGGGCCGGGCTTTCTGCTCAATTAGCGGCCATTAAGCCTTGTCTAGAAGAAAGTGCATTACGGGGGTGTCTGTGTGGGCTGAGTGCCCGCACCTCCGAGAGAGGGAGGGGGGCAGCCACTCTCCACATGCGGTCCGGGAAACCTGGAAAAACCCAGACGAGATGGACAACCGCATAGGTGAGGGTGGGGACTCTGGCGGGGGGGGGGGGGGGTTCAAATGGCGCATATGTAAGGTTGGACATCTTCATGGGGTTTTACCTTCTGTATCTTTTTGGACTACCCCCCCCCCCCACCGCCATGGGATGTTTCTCGGACAGTCGTGTCCCTACCAGGAAAGCTGTTCATGTGGATCTGACTCTGAAGTCGACCTGGAGTTAACCTGCATGTTACAAGAATGCAAAGGGAAATGAAGAGATTATATACTGAATTTTCTATTGTTTACGTATTTAAATACCTGGATGTGTTTTTATTTGTGCGGCTCAGTTTTACATTGGCTGACCGCTCTGTGCCCCCACCTGCTTCAGCAACACCTCCCCCCCCACGACAGTCAAACTGAAGCACTGTCGCTGTGTCCGTCTGGCTTGCGTCATTTCAAAAAGACAGTGACGAAGTGACATTTTCTGTTTTCCTAATGAAAAGCAAGGGGGGGTTATATTGTGGGGGCTGCACATCCCTACTGCACATCCCTGCTCCATATTACAGAGCTTGGAGGTTAAACAAGCCCCCCTCCAATTTATATGTGAACTAAGGATGTGTTCACGGTGACTGCTGCTGTTTCCCAGGTCCTCTCAACCTCCAAATGGGAGCCCCCCCTTCCCATATCGGCTGAGAGTGGCTGATTCATTCCGGTAAAAGCAGGAACTCAAAGCTTCTGCTGCATCTCAGAAGAACCAACAGCTGGAAGCTCTCCACGATTGGTCGACCTTTTCGCATCACTTTAAACAGATGCATCACGATGTTCTGAGATCTTCGGGTGGGGGGGGACAACGTTTCATCCATATGGGTGTTAGTTTTTAGTATATTTTGTTATTTGTGTGTAATTGCGTAGCTGAATCACTTCCTGGTGTGCTGATGTCGTTCTGCTGTTTAAACCTGCAGATTTAAGACCATTGATTCCGATTGTCTTCTCCTCTGCTGACAGGAAGTCCACGACATCCTGAGAGAATATGAACTGAAGTATTGTTACGTGGACAGGAACAAAGGAACAGGTAATGATCTCCATATCTATAGTCCGAATCATGTCTTACCTTTGTAAGTACCAGGATGTCTGAATAGAAACTCTTCATGAGGATTTACGTAGTTGCTTACTTACATGACTTGTTTGACTGTTTTGTTTTGTGGGAACATTTCTGTGATTCTTTGCCCTCGTGTTTATCCTTGGAAACAGGTGGCATCTGTCATTTTACCTACAAGCTAAACTGCGATGCAGGCGAATGTGCTGTGTGGCTCAGTTGGTTAGGATGCTCTGTGTGTAACCGGAAGGTCGCTGGTTCAAGTCCTGTGGTCCCTTAACCCCGAATTGTTCCAGGGAGTGGCTGACCTGCTTTCCCAAAAAAAATTTATGTTTTTTAATCTGTTGAACTGAAACTTTCGTATTTTGATAGAATTGTGTTGAGTTCTGTTCTCAGTCTTGACCCTTTGGTCCTGGGCTGTTGACCCTTTGGTCCTGGGCTGTTGGCCCTTTGGTCCTGGGCTGTTGACCCTTTGGTCCGGGGCTGTTGACCCTTTGGTCCTGGGCTGTTGGCCCTTTGGTCCTGGGCTGTTGGCCCTTTGGTCCTGGGCTGTTGACCCTTTGGTCCTGGGCTGTTGGCCCTTTGGTCCTGGGCTGTTGGCCCTTTGGTCCTGGACTGTTGACCCTTTGGTCCTGGGCTGTTGACCCTTTGGTCCTGCCTCTCTTTATGGGTGTGCTTGCAGGAGCTGGTGACTGAGTGATTGTCATTTCACGCCCGATTTGGATCCCTGCTTTGTGTGAGGCTCTTATTGTTTTGTGCTGGGTTGGGCCCATCTTAACCCTGGCTGCTGTCTTGTGTGTTTTATTATACAATAATGACCCGATTAATTTTTAATTAGCCTCTGATTGATTGAGGGTGGTGCAGTAACTCAGGACCTCATCTGGCCTTCAGATCCTGGGCAGGGCCCGGACTGTACTCTGCCATCTGGGCTGATCGTATGGGTGACAGCTGGCCCGCATAGGTGACCCGGGCTAGGTGGGGCTGTCACTCGACCGGGCTTGGCTGTGCAGAACCTGCCCCCAGACCCGTTCTGCTGACTAGCCTGTAAAAAAGAAGCTTCTTCCCTCTTTGATATTTCGGCAGCACGGGATGCAGATCCCGTCAGCTGCTTCTGAT